CATATAAATTTAATAAATGCAATAAAAAAGGGCAAAACATCATGTCAACCATGTAACTATACCACATAAGTAGTCCATGAGAATAAACAGAGCAGGCAAATTTACTATTAATCAATACTCCTACCTCTTCCTCATCAAGCTCTCTTTCATTGATGTTTAACTCTGAAAGATCAATCGCCAATTTCTTATCCCTTTCATTTAGCCACATGTCTTCTAGCTCTCCATTCTTTCGTCCCATTGAACTGATTTCTGTTTTATCAGGCAAGGGGCTCACCCCCCTAGGGATTGGAGGCACTGGCTTTGTTCCACTCAGGCCTCTCCTTGAAGCTGGGGTCCTTACAAAGGCAGGTTTCAGTTGAATAGGAGGAGTATCTTGAGGTTTCACCTCTGTATGAAGAGATTTATAGGACATGTTAGCAATGTGCTGCTGATGTCCTAATAGGAGCACTTACTGATTAGTACAGAATGGAATCACTAGATAGATACTGCATTATCTGCAACAGCTTCTAAAATTCTCAATTAATTTATTTTTGCTCTAGAACTGCCTCAAAGAACTGGGAATATCACACCACATCCAGCTCATTCAGTCATTGTACTCTGACCAGGCAGCCAACTGTAAGAATGGAATATGGAGACATAAAATAGTTCAGGATTAAAAAACGCACTCAGCAAAGTTGCATCCTGTCACTTATACAATTCAACATATACACAGAAATAGTTATGAGAAATGCACATTTGGAGGAATCTACCATTAGGATTAAAATCAGGAATATCAACAGTCTCCAATATGTAGATAATACAACATTGCTTGCAGAAAGCAAGGAGGAACTGGAGTGGTTAATTCTGAGAGTCAAAGATGAAAGTGAAAAATTTGGATGGTGCCTTAACATCAAGAAAACAAAGATAATGACAGCTACAGAGAACACACATGTCAGAGTGCAGATTGGCAATGAGACTGTTGAAACAGTAAAGGAATTCATCTTCTTGGGCTCTAAAATCGACCAAAGTGATGGCTGGAGTCCTAAGATCACAAGGCATATAGCACTTGGAAGAACTGCAATGCCTGGCATGAATAACATCTGGAAGAATAAAGATACCAGCCTCACAACCAAATGCAGATTAATTAATGCAATATTTTTTTTCCAATTGCTGCTTATGGCTGCAAAATATGGACTCTGAAAAAGGCAGACAGGATAAGGGCGGATACCTTTGAAACGTGGTGCTGGAGGTGACTATTACGCATCCCATGGACTGCAAAAATAACAAAGAAAGAAGTCCTAGACCAAACCTTACCAAAAATATCAATTGAAGTCAAAATTGCCAAACAGAGGCTATAATACTTTGGTCATGTAATCAGAGCTGACTCACTCGAAAAGTCAGTCATGCTGGGAGTGATCAGCGGAAAAAGGAGAAGGGATCACCCTAGTATCCGCTGTCTGGACACTATAAAAGATGACACTGGGATGACCATGGCAGATCTGAAGGAGGTGGTGTGAGACAGAGGAGCATACAGAATGCTGATCCATAGAGTGGCTGAGGATCGGACATGACTGAATGACTGACAACAATGACGACGATTATCCCTAGACATCAAATGGAAGAGTCCCTTTAAGCATGCCCTCCCTAAAACAAACACTTATCGGTTTTTAAGCTCTGTTCCCATGAAATATGTTAAATCCTGAGACTAGTACTTCTCTTCAAAACAATTCAAGACAACTTTAAAGAAAATACAATAGACTAGAACAGCAATATATAACTGTATGGTTTTTATTTGTACAAATTCTTGTAAATTAGTTGCAAGCTAAAAAAAAAATTAGCATATCAGAATTAAATTAGTCTAGTATCAGACTTTTTGTCTGTTACAAAAAAAACAAGATAAAACTGATATTAGATGGTAGTTTCATTAAATAGTAGTGACATAGAATGTAAATTACTGCCTTTGAAGAACAGTTGTTAAAACTTAAGAGGGAGTTGACTGCTAATGTCTTTCTTACATCTACTTCCTTTTTTTCCTTTCTTGGCATCTTATTTCCAGATTTTGTGCACATTATTGGAAACAGCACAGATTATTACTAAGGATGGTTACCTGCTTCCTCTCCTGATATTGGGCTGGAAAACTTCTTCTGATGTGTAGGTTTTGGAAGCCCTTCAAAGCTCTTAAGAGGCCAGGAATTAGAGAAATTAACAGCATGATCTTGTGATTTCTTAAGTGAATGACAACCACCTCTCCACACGAAACCTGAGACGGACCCACTACTTTTACCCATCCTACCTTCTTACTTACAAGGAACCGATCATACTGTCGGGTCCTCTCCTCTTCATACGAGTCCACCCGATGTTTTCCAGGCGACTCCGAATTTTAACTCCGATCATGTGTGACCTTTTCTGTGTTTCATCTGTTAAACGTATTTTATTTCCTGAAAAACAATACCGTTGGCAATCGTGTCTGATCTTTAATCTGTAAGAAGAGCATGGAAGATTTTTATTTGAGCTCCTAATCCTATCAAGCAGAAGTGTTTTTAGTACTTGTTAGTCCATATATTAAACCAGGTTATGCTAACTTTTCTTTCCTGGAACATTTTAAGTGGGGGTTGGCTCTTCAGATATTGCAGCACTACAAGATTCATAATTACTCATAATGGTTAATCCTTATGGCAACTGGAATGTAGCAACATGTGGAATACTACAAACTGCATTTTGCTGATCTATATAACAGGATAGATACAATAAGTCTATTTAAAAAATAAGTATGTTTTCCCAACACAGGTTATAATGAGCAAAAATAACAAAGAGTAAATTAAGCATTAAATTAAAACATAATTTAGAAATTTGAAGATTAACAGAGAAGTAGACTAGAAACCAATCTGACATCACAAGATATTCTAAAAACAGAACTGCTGCTTTAACTTAGTGGTTATGCTTATGCTTGGCACAGGTAAGGTCAATCTGATTAAGGAGTTTACTCCGCAGTGCTGGGAAAGAGTTCTGTAAGCAGTACACAGCTAATTAGGCTAATTATCTAAATTTGTACAGCTTAATATTGTAATTATTTGGATGGCTAATGTAATCCTATTGTAGCTGATATATTTATGGAACACCTTATTATTCACAAAGGTGTCTATGATATTAGAGCCCTTATGGAGGAGACTGAAGTAGAAAAGTAATTGGGAGAAGTCTGTTATCACTGAATTTTGAATACCATCCTGAGTAGTCATGCTATTCAATACCTTTATCTTGCCATGGACTGCTAAGTCCTAGAAACTGTAGGTCAGAATCCACACTGCCACTTTTTCCACAGCTATGAGAAAAACCAAGTAGATTGGATTTCCCTGAAATATGTGGCTGATGAGAGGCCATCACACCTTTCAAGCAAAAAAGGAAAGATAGTCAGATATGTTTCCATGTCCCATTGACAGTGACAAGTTTAATTCAAATTTTAAAATATATTTTAGTGTAAAGAGAACAGGATGAAAGAAAGCTGTAAAAATCCACTCTCTGCATATTTTCTAGCAAGATATTTTTATAAGACAGAATAATATATCCCATATAGAACAGAAAAAATAGAATCCTTTTCCCTCATATCAAAATGTTACATTTGTTTAAAGATTATTTTAATCAGATATATAAAGTTTCCAGAGTAGGAGATAAAAGGAATCTCCAATACAATTTTTCTATGGATAATTAATATTTATTATATTTGTAATAACTGCTCACTTTATTAAACTCTGCTTGGTTTACAAAATTAGAAACAATAAAAACAATTAAATGCACATAGCTACACAGAAACATGCAGCCCGGACTAAACCAATCAGAAAGATAATTGATAGAGATACAATAATATACATATATTAATAATTAATAATTATATAATTAATTGCATTTTAATATTTACAATTTCCAATGGCCATTTATCACTCTAACCAGGATGTAAACAGGTGTTTTACAAAAAAGAGTTGCATAATAAATATAGCTCATGGCTATATCAACATCCTAACTACATATCCCATATTTATTCCCATTCTTAATAATAATAACAATAACAATAATAATAAAGTTGGAAGGGACCTTGGAGGTCATCTAGTCAAAACCCCTGCTCAGGCAGGAACCCTTATACCATTTCAGACAAATGGCTGTCCAGTTCTCTTCTTAAAAACTTCCAGTGTTGGAGCATTCACAGCTTCTGGAGACAGGTTGTTCCACTGATTAATTGTTCTAACTATCATAAAATTTCTCCTTAGTTCTAGGTTGCTTCTCTTTTTGGTTACTTTCCATCCGTTGCTTCTTGTCCTGCCTTCAGATGCTTTGGAGAATAGCTTGACTCCCTCTTCTTTGTGGCAGCCCCTGAGACATTGGAACACTGCTATCATGTCACCCCTCGTCCTTCTCTTCATTAAACTAGACACAGCCAATTCCAGCAACCGTTCCTTATATGTTTTAGCCTCCAGTCCCCTAATCATCTTTGTTGCTCTTCTCTGTACTCTTTCTAGAGTCTCAACATCTTTTTTATATCGTGTTGACCAAAACTGGATGCAGTATTCCAAGTGTGGCCTTACCAAGGAATTATAAAGTAGTACTAACACTTCATGTGATCTTGATTCTATCCCTCTTCACTGGCTCTTTTTTATATCTACAAAACCCATCTACCGTTTGGTCCAGTTGTTAGAGGTGGAGAAAAACAAGAGACATAGTATTAAAATCAGCCGCATTGTTTATTAAAACAAGCAAATCCCAAAGTTTTATTTTCTCAAGTTAAAATTTCAGTTGATTTTAATTCTGTATTTCTTTGGGATATTCCCCGAATCATCTTCTCCTATATCTTTCTAGGCAAAAATTTTAAAAAATGTTTTGATTAAATTAGCATACAAACTGCAAAAATATTCTCAGATTTTCTAATAACTAGGCAATCAATGCAGTACAAGTTCTTGTCCTCTCAGTCTCATTCTATTTTAAACTACTTAAATAAAACCCTTTCCCAACATTTTAAAGATGACAGTGGGAGTACTGAACAAAAAGAAAACATCTAATCCTTTTGAGCTATGACTGAGACAGCTTCAAAAATGTTCAGTTGCACCAGACTTCAGAATAATTTAGCAGTACCTTGTTCTGTCTTAACTCAGGCCAGACAACAAAAGAGCACGGAGGAGAGGGCAAAACAGGCACCTGGGTGGCTCAACCGTTTCTGTACTGTACTATCTATTGTACCATCATGTCACTATAAATGACTCTGATGTTCTTAAGAACTCTGTACATACTTAGTATTTCACTGGCTTACCTTGAGAAGCTCTTAATTTAGGAGAGTGAAGAAAATCATTTGATGTCAAGCACTGGAACAGAAAGAAAAGGCAAATAGTACTACAGTATAATGTAATTTACATCTTTTTTTCATTTAAAAAATTAAGAGGAAAAAAGTACACTGACTAGAACCTAGATATAGTATGGGAAACCATTTGAAGTTTTCAGAAAGGATATTTTAACTAAGTTGAGTTTTTAAAGTCTGATCATTTTTGATAGCCACTTTAGTCTGGCCATAACAACTCCACTCCTCCACTGTTCTTAGGACAGTGTAAATTTAATTAGATACAAAACTGAAAGTCAACTTAAGGACCATCTAATCTACTACAAATATTAGCCTTTATGAAACTTTTTTTTTTTTAAAAAATCACTACAAAATAATAATTTCTGTACCTGCTAATTTTCCTGTATTGGTCCGTACTGTTACTGAACTCCTATGAACAATGCTGACTGCACAAATTCCTTGAATTGCTGTGGGGCTACTTACGTTAATCTGTAACTAAACTGAGCTCATTGGAATGTACCTAAATGTAATTATTAATCTTCTTCGAATTCTGAGAAACCTTAGCTAAAAAAATTAAAGACTGTGAAAATTATGTTCATTTACTTTTCTTTGAACTCATCCTAACTCAAACCCAAAGATTTATTTCAATAATCAATATAACATACTGGCTTGACCATTAGGAAGTTATTCTGAATGGTTTAAGACACTTGCATCTTATGGCCTTTCTATTTCGAAAGGCACTGTTCTAAGTCAATATCAGTTTTACCTTTGTGTTATCTATTGAATTTGATACTGATCTTTATTTTTTCCCTTTTTAAATTATTTATATATCATACTTATATAGCTGCCAATCTTAAAAATATTAATAGGTCTGAAACAGATGAGGAAAATAAAAGAGCATGATCATATGGCAAACCATACACTTGCAATATAGTGACATCTCCTCCATTACACTATACAAAATAAATGTCCAGAGGTGAGGTCTGTGAAAGCAGGGGTCCCCAGCGCCCGGCCCATCGACCAGTACCAGTCTGTGGCCTGTTAGGAACCAGGCTGCACAGCAGGAAGTGAGCGGTGGGCGAGCGAAGCTTCATCTGCATTTGCAGCTGTTCCCCAGTGCTACGCCACCACCTCAGATCACCAGGCATTAGATTTTCATAGGAGCGTGAATCCTATTTTAAACTGCACATTCAAGGGATCTAGGTTGCATGCTCCTCCTCACCCCACCAATCCGTGGAAAAATTGTCTTCCACAAAACCGGTCCCTGATGCCAAAAAGGTTGGAGACTGCTGCAATAAAGAATGGACATGTATAAAACTGCTTGAAGAACAGAAGTGTACAGCAAATTTAAGCAGCAGCCTCAGCTGTTGATTCAAAAACTTTCAGAACACTTTCTACATATGAACAATCAAATCTTGATTAGCCATAATGGCTTGAATAAATCTATCAAATTCAGGGCCTGCAGTCTCCTGAAAGTTAGTTGCTAAGTTCAAGTTCTGCATGGGGACCATTCATACTAGACATTTTTTTTAAAAAATTGGTCTGATCTAGCAACTCCTCTTTATCATGGTTCACTAATTAATATGGAACACAGAAGTTGTTTCTGACAGCTTTCAATTTCTTTCTTCATGACACATATTCAAGACATTGTGATTACACATTGTCAATTTTTGTTAACACCATGTTTCTATGCAGAAATTCAGAAGAAGGAAACATATGATAGAATTTAAACCTCAACTAATCTCCATGGTAATTCAGGTTTCCATCAATGCAAATATTCCTCCCTACATACAACTCTTAAGTTCTGCATGAAAATAAAATTTGAATAGAAGAGCAGAGTTTGGGAGGATTATGCAAATATCCAAAGCATGTGCCTGAAATTCATTTATTTGAGTTTTATTTGAGTTCTTAAAGTTTGATAATGTCTGATGAACCACTTTAATCTGGCCATAACAATGCTATTCTTGTACTGTTCTTGGGACAGTTTCAATAGATACTGAGTCTTCCAAATTGTGGTTGATACAACCACAATTGTGACCAGAATTTCCAATGCTAAACAGGATGGTTGTTCAGTGAGTCGTGCCTGATTTTACGATTTTTTGCCATGGTTGTTAAACAATTGTTAAGTGAACCATGTGGTTGTTAAGAAAATCCAGCTTCTCCCATTGACTTTGATTGTCTGAAGAGGTAAGAAGGTTACAAATGGTAATAATGTGACCCTGGGATGCTACAACTATCATAAATACATGCAGGTTGCCAAGTGCCCAAATTTTTATAACATGACTGTGAAGATATAGTTCAAAGTGACACAGGAGAAAGCTCTCCCCTACATGTCATATTAGTAAACTGGTAGTTTAAGAGCATCATCAAAAGGACCTCTCAGCATATCTTAATGGCAGAAAAAATTCTTAACAGTAAAGCAAAACGACTTAACATGAGTTCCAGAAACCAGAAATAGTGCCCAGTTAGCAGCCAACAAGTGGTGAAGGTTTTTCAGCATAGGCAACAATCCTCTCAAAATGCCCTATTTTCCACTTTTTTCCTTTAATATCCTCAAAATCATTAACATGACTAATTAACTGTGCAACATGGTAATCATATTCAACAAATACATTAGAAAGTAGTAGCTAAAAGGATTAAATCAAGTGATCTGGAAGTCTTGAGGGTCTGGGTGAAAGAATAAAATTAGAGTTACGTCATTTTTAATTTATTTAATCATATCCCACCGATATTGTACTATGGCCCTAAGGCTGCCTGCCAACAATGAAACCACAATTATGCTATTACAGTATTAAAATGTGAAATCTTAAAATATTATTTAAAATATAAGCCATACAGTATTAAGAATATCTAAAAGTAAATTCAATTGGATCACTCAAATTTTTGGTAACGGTAGCATGAACTTCAGCTAAAAACCAGAGTAAATGGAGTTTTAGTCTTTATTCTTTAACAGAATACAAACTAATTTTCCCTAACCTAGTATCATCCAGATATGTTGACTCCACATCCTTTCAGCCCTAGGCAGCAAAATTAATGGGAATCTTGGCTGGGTGGAAGTTTTTGCCTGAAGACACCTGGATGACTCCATATAGCTTGAAGAACAATTTAGACACCAGTACCATAGGATGGTTTTACTTACTGGTTCACTTCCTTTTGCAAAGCAAGTTTGGTTCCCAGGTCGTTCACTCTCCCAAGGCAGTTTTCCTTTCCCAGCACTTAACACACGCCGGGGACATACTGCGTGATCTGCAAAAGGGGTAAAAGACCCAGCAGTCTCTCCAGAGTAGCTGTGGGCACTCTGGATTCGGTTGCCCTCTAGGAGCCAATCTGTGTCCGCTCCATGAGGCAAATGAAAGCCGCGCCCGTTTGCCGAGGAAGGCAGGGGAACAGCATACTCCACAAACCACTGGTCGGTCAGCTTGGGAAGAGTTTTTCTCGCCAACCGAGCCTGCACAGCACTCATGACTCCTTCACAATTATCCTGAAGTTCAACCACGTCCACCGCCTTGAAGATCAGGCTGGTGCGACCGGGGCCCAGGGCCGAGGCTAAGACAGCAAAAGCCTCTAGGGCGGCGTGACGAACCCGGCGCTTGCTGTCCGCCAGAGCAGGGGCAAGCGCAGCCACCAGCTTGGGGAGCTCGAAGTCCTCGCTAGGGAAGGTGAGGAGAGCAGCGATGGAGATGGCCAGGACAACCTCGCGGACACGAGAATTGCGATGCTGCAGGTGCTCGGGGCGCAGCAGGAGATCCAGCACGGGCTGAGGGCCGGCTGCCCGCATCAGACCCAGAAAGAGTTGATGGTACTCCTGACGGATGGCCAACTTAGCGTCGCCTAGCACTTTAGCTGCGGCCGCCACCAACGGCTCCAGGCGGGACCGGCTCCCCGCGGCCGGGCCTAGGCGGACAGCCAGCAGGCGCAGCCCTTCTAGCGCACCCAGCGCCACTTTGAAGTTTGAGTCGTCCAGCAACGCCCGCAGCAGGCTGAGCAGCCCAAGGAGGCTAGGTGGGGGCAAGCAGGCCAAGGCCGCACCCGGCGCCTCTCCCAAAACCCGCTTTAGCTGCTCCATGGCGCCCACGCGGCCTCGGTAGTCCTGCTGGTCCAGCAGCCGCGCGTGCAGCTCCGACGGGACCAGCCCGAAGCGCAACGTGGCTCCCGGTTGGGTCGGCGACGGAACGCGGCCTGCAAGAAAAGAGGCGTCGGGCGCCTCCCATTGCTCCGCGCCTCCGCGGCCTCCTGCTCCGCCGCCGCCGCCGCCGCCTCCGCCGGAGGCACCCCCTTCCTGCTCTTCCTCTCTGGCCATGCCCCTCTCCAGGGCTTTGCCCGGCTGCCCCGCCAGCCCGCCCCGAGGCCGCCGCCGCCGGGCCCCTCACAGGGGAGCATCGCCGTCTCCAGGGAAACGCGTCACCGCTGCTACCGCCACCTCCTTCGCCGCCTCCGCCACGACGGAGGCATCATTGCGCGTGCGCATAACGCCCAGCTGGGGAGGAGAACTGCGGCGCCCGTCAATCGTTTGATAGAAAACGAAGATAAGCCGCGAAGGGTGGGAAGAGCGCTCAGGCGGGTCTCGCGGGTAGAACGTTCGTAGAAAGCCTCGGCGCGCAGTGCGCGCCGGGGTATGTAGTCCAACCCCTCACGAAACAGAGAAATAGCAGAGCTGATGGTGCTATAATTATCTACACCCAGGGAAAGTTTATTTTTGCTTTGTTTTAAATGTAAAATTGAAATTTGGGGGTAATACCTCTCCTCGTGAATAGTGAAAAGGCTGCCGGGAGTCGAAATTTTGGGGGAGGAGTCTGTGGTTCGTTAGCGGAAATGACGCAGCCAGCCGTCGCCTCTTCTCTTCCGCTGCGTCTGGCTGTGTTGTTGTGCCTGAAAGGAGCCCGCTGAGGCCCCCGCCCGCCCGGGCTGCAGTCCCCTGAGTCCGGTGAGTGGCCCTCCCCCGCGATATTAATTGTGAGGGATGGAATGGCCGAAATGAAGGAACTTGGGCCAGAAAGAGCGTGGCTCGATAACGATATCGAGGGGGGGAAAAACAGCATAATATGAGACGGAGGTTGGAAGGGATGACTGGCTGAGGGAAGTCCTTGTTTTTCTCCGTTCCTTGTCCTACTTCGCAAATGGGTGTGATGGGTATTCGCTAAAACGTTTTGGGCTCTTCCTCTGGCAGGTTAAGGTGGCTTGGTCGTCTCTACATTCTCGCTGACTGCTTTCGCCCCCCCTCCCAATATTATTGGGAACTATATATTATATAGCGGTTTGTGTTACTAGACCTGAATGCAAGAATAGAAAGTGATTGGCTTGGTTTTCAAATGAATTTGTAGCAATTTTTGTAATGTCTAGTATGTTTGTCTTGAGACTAGAATAGTTGTGTTAAAGTTGATTTGTGAGGTGATCATAATCAGATATGCATGCTGGAAGTTGCTGGTTTTCAAATGGAGGGGTAGATTTTAACTTTTAGGGGGCGGGGTACAATGTAGAGACCTGTGGTGGTTCTGAAACATTCAGGTTTTACTAATTATTGTGATAAGGTTTTTTAAAGTAATCGCCAGAAATGAATGAGCATTCCATAGTCATAAAAATTCATGGAGCTCAAAGATAAAGCACTTAAAAGTTTGTGTACAGTTTTATGATTTGACACTGAAAAGTTGCTTTAGATTAGAGCAATGGGAACATAAATGCAGCTCTATAACAGACATACTGGTACTAATTTAATGACTCACTATCTTTTCTGTACACTCTAAAACAGCTTTTCTGTACACTCTAAAACAGCTTTTTAGAATTTAAAGTGCTGCCCAGCTTAGATCACATACACCATGCAGTATAAGAGTGAATATATATAGCCATACTATGATTATTGTCTTATTGCTATCTTTAGGCAGGCTTGTTATTTTTTGCTTTATACTAGTAATGTTTCAGACTCAAATTTTCTATTTCAGTCCAGTTCTTTTTTTCTTACTGTTATTCAGACACTTCATTGGTAAATCACTGCAAATAAAAAAGTAGTATGTGTGTGTGTGTGTGTGTAATTTGGATGTGTAGACATATAAGGAGAATATGAAAATCTCTTTACAATAGAGTTTCAGTATTTCTATTAAAAAAGAAGGCCGAGATACTGATATGTATTGAGAAAGATAAAGAAGTTCAGTGATTTTTAAAAATAGAAATGATTTGAAATAAAATGCAAAGAGAATGATCTGTTGACATTCATAATCTTGAGGGAGGTATTCCATAATGTTAATACCATATTGGAAAACCAGTACATTCTGGTTCCATTCACTTTATAGAACAACTTTTGCAACAGATTCCTTGAATGGGCAAATCTGGTTGGAGTACATAGGTGCCAAGCCATATAAGTCAAAGTAGAACTTTAAAATTCACCTAGAAATCCATTGGTAACCAATGCAGAGTCTACAAAATTAGAATAACGTGACTCAAGTGGCTAATGCCTTTCAATAAACAGACTGCTGCGTTTTGCACCGGATGCAGTTGCATTGCATTGTGACAAGGGCACAAGTCCTTATATTGCTTAGAATGTGTCGAAAGTATATTAGTTAAAAAATTATGAAAGTGTGTTTAAATTAAATTTATTTTAACAGATGGACCAGTCATCTCCAACCTATATGATTGCTAATTTAATACCCCTGCATTCAGAGCAACTCCTGCAAGGCCTGAATTTACTCCGCCAACACCATGAACTTTGTGATGTCATCCTTCGGGTTGGAGATGTCAAGATCCATGCCCATAAAGTTGTGCTTGCTAGTATCAGTCCATATTTCAAAGCCATGTTCAGTGGAAATCTCTCTGAAAAAGAAAACTCAGAAGTAGAATTCCAGTGCATTGCAGAAGCAGCTCTGCAGGCCATAGTGGAATATGCCTATACTGGGACTGTATTCATATCACAGGACACCGTGGAATCACTTCTGCCTGCTGCCAATCTCTTGCAAATCAAGCTTGTGCTGAAAGAATGTTGTACCTTTTTAGAAAGCCAGCTGGATCCTGGCAATTGTATTGGTATCTCCCGTTTTGCAGAGACATATGGCTGTCATGATCTGTACTCGGCTGCCAATAAATATATTTGTCAGAACTTTGAAGATGTTTGTCAAACAGAAGAGTTCTTTGAACTTACCCATTCTGAGCTGGATGAAATTGTTTCCAATGACTGTTTGAATGTGGTTACAGAGGAAATGGTTTTTTATGCACTGGAATCTTGGATCAAATATGATGTGCAGGAGCGTCAGAAATTTCTGGCGCAGCTACTTCATTGTGTACGGTTGCCTCTGTTGAGTGTTAAATTTCTCACAAGACTTTATGAAGCCAATCATCTCATTCGTGATGACCATACCTGTAAACACCTGTTGAATGAAGCCCTGAAGTACCATTTCATGCCTGAACACAGGCTTTCGTATCAGACTGTACTAACTACACGTCCTCGCTGCCCTCCTAAAGTGCTCTGTGCAGTGGGGGGGAAAGCTGGACTCTTTGCTTGTTTGGAAAGGTGAGAAATAACAGCCACAACAACAAAAATCTGGGTTTAAGCAGGCTTGTCTTGCTAATTTCTTCTGTTCACAAATCAAGGTATCTAGCAGAGCCTATCTCTGAGGAAAACTGTACAGGTTTTGACAACCTTCAGTTGCTTGTCTGAAATGCAGAAGCCTTAGAATAGCAGATAATTGACCAAGGAGTTATAATTTGGAATGTTCTTCATTTTGCTGCTGTTCTCACTGTCACAGTCTTGTAAGAATTATTAGCATTCTTTTAGTCCAGGAGTATATTTATATCTTAATCATATCAGTCTAATAATTTATTCCATTTACTAAAAAGGAAAGAGATTTCAGGGTTTTATCCCCCACAATTAAGTGGTGGTAGAAATAAGATCAAAATTGAACTGCAAATCTAATTTCTATTCCATTAGAAGTATGAATGGTCTTATTATTTTTGTTTCTCAACTATTAGGGTTGTTACCACAACAAAGAACTATGTTGAGGTTCAGTATCCTGTAATCAGTTTCATTGCCTAAAATTGTTAGCTATAAAATGTATGATTGAGTTCACATCTGGAAAGTCAACAACCCACTTATATCCCTGTCTCACCTTTTGAGGGCTATATTGTACATGACTACATTATCTCCAGATATTGAGTAGTAGTCAGTTTTATTAATTAATCGCCATGGAATGGATGCAGCTATTAGTTTAAATTCCCTTTCTTCCTGGTAATCCTTTTGCTCAGCTAAAGGTTTAGGAGATCTTGCAGAGTAGATTTTATGTGAACTGCTTATACATTTAACTTTCTTTTGCACCAGCAGTAAAGACTATGAAGGATAGATGAGAAACTACCTAGGATGGGCTCACTCTCCAAATTTTGCCCATTTAACAGAATCTAGGTTTATGTATTTACTAAACAAATTTATTTAGCTGCTGAACTCACACATGGGTGACACTGGTGACTTATAACATTTAAAAACATTTAACCCATGAAAAATTCCACTCCCATGGCAACAACAAAATCAAATCAGCCACTTGACTGTCTTCATCTCCATTGATGGACCATATTTTTAGGACTTTTCAGTTCCAGTGAGCAATCTTTTCATTAAAGAGGTGAGCTGTTTTTCAGAACAATAAAGCTCTGCTTTGGTAAAGTTTGAGTGATATAATGTGTTGTGCTTCAAGGAAGATTTTGTGAAAGTGTTCCCTATGTGTTCTTGGAGCAAATCATAAATGATTGCATTCTTAGTTTAGTTTCATATAAATAAATATTACAAGTAAAATTATTTTTAAGATTTGTTATCTTGAATTTCTTTCCAATTCTTATGATTTAGAGACTGGTTATATACCTCACACTGAGCAGTGGTTTGTTTATAATTAAATGAATATACTAAGAGATCATACATAACTGTTAAACCATCAGCTATTATTTTTCAAGCCACAATGACTTACTTTACCTTAAAAATGAAGCCCAAACCAAACCATATATGCTTAACACAAAACATTAATTCAATTACAATGTTTTTGTGTGTAGGGGCCAGTTTAAAAGATGGTTCAGTATCAAGCAACTCAAACCAGCATTTTTTTTAAAAAAAAATGTTTGAAATAAGAGACATAGAGTAAAAGTATTTAAATTCCATTGGGGTAGCAGCTCTTGATATATTGAAATTCCGTTTTGCCTCATGATTGTTTTTTTGTCTTCTTCAGTGTTGAAATGTATTTTCCTAAGAATGACTCTTGGATAGGCTTAGCACCTCTGAGTGTTCCTCGCTATGAATTTGGAATCTGTGCCCTTGATCAGAAAATCTATGTAATAGGAGGAATTGCAACCCACATGTGTCAAGGCATCAATTATCGGAAACATGAAAGCTCTGTGGAATGCTGGGACCCTGATACAAATACTTGGACATCAATTGAGAGTATGAATGAGAGTCGAAGTACTCTGGGTGTAACAGTTTTGTCACGAGAAATCTATGCCTTGGGAGGTTATGATGGGCAGTCCTATCTTCAATCAGTGGAGAAGTATATTCCAAAGGTGAAGGAGTGGCAGCCTGTTGCACCAATGAACAAAACTAGGAGTTGCTTTGCTGCAGCTGTTTTAGATGGAATGATTTATGCCATTGGGGGCTATGGTCCAGCTCATATGAACAGGCAAGTGCATGTTTAAGCTTGGCAGTTATATATTATTATTATTATTATTATTATATATGACATTAATTGATTTAATTTGATCACATTTATATGGCCACCCTCTCATGGAAAGTGACTCTGGGTGGTATACCGCAGAACAGAAATATGCAGGATCCTCTATCTTATTAATTATTCCCAGGGTAACAATGTCTTGTTTAATTCATGCTTTAGGTAATTTGTCTAAGGAATTCCTTGGGATTGTTTGTTAAAATTATACTTGTGTTTTTCTTCAAAACCTGGGGAGAAGAAATTATATGTTTGGTTAGGTTCTAAATCATATTGTGATATTTATTGGTCATGTACATACACATGTCAGAAACCAAGCATTCATTCTAACTAAATGCCCTTAGAGCAATTGGTTAATGATGTAAATTTAATTGTATGATAATCCAGCCTTTTATAGTGCAACATAATTTCAGTACTGTAGCCTGGGGTTGTGTTCTTGAGATAATAGTACACTGAAATGCTAGCCACATTTTTTGCAAGTGTGTTGTGTAAATGCACTAGGGCAGTGGTTCTCAACCTGTGGGTCGGGACCCCATTTGGGGTCGATCGACCATTTCATGGGGGTCGCCAAGCAAGGCTGTCCGCCATTTTTTTCCCCTTTTCCGGCAGGTGCCTTACCTCCCTTGGGCTGGGCCAGCTGGTGGTTGGCCTGCTCCGTCTCTGCCGCTTGCCAGCTACGCCTCGGCCAGCGCAGGGGGCGGAACCACGCATGCGCGGCGCTCCCGGGCAGGGAAAGTCCTCGACTTACGACCGGTTGTGTAGTCCTCGACTTACGACCGGTTTAGTCCTCGACTTACGATCGGTTTAGTCCTCGACTTACGACTGGTTGGGGTCACGGCATTAAAAAGGTTGAGAACCACTGCACTAGGGGCTAGTTTATTGTTGAGTGTGCTCTGTTAATCCAATTTTCTAAAATATTAGGGAAACAATAATTAACTATGGGTAAGAGCATAATATGAACATAGTATGGTAATTTTTCCTATAGGTCTGCTGCTTTAAATTAGAGCAAAAATGCCCCAGATTAAACACTTACAAAATTATAGTCCAACTTGGCAACAAGAGTAGATTTTATGTCATTTAATTCTAAGCCAATCCATTCTGCAGATTTTTAATAGGCAATCCTCATTAAAAAAAAGTTACATCTGAAGTTAAAATTGTTCTAAAACTGAATCAAAACTTGGTTATGTAAAGACCATTACAAACATGGAATAACACTGCTGCAGTATAATGTTCAAGTCCCTTTCCTGTTGTGGAAAAACAATGTCACAGTGTCTAGCAGAACATAACTTAGTATGTGATTTGTATGTGATTAATACTAAGAGTGCTTGAAAGTTCTAGAATGAAATGAAGGAACATCTGGAAGCCAGTATATTGCCATGATTTATGGCCTGTTTGAAGGAAGCAAGGTTTGTGTTTCCCAAATGCCAGGGGTTTTTTTGTTTTTGTTTTTGGGGTTTTTTTGGAGGGTGGGGTTGCCAGCATTATAGGCAGACCATTGGCTGCATTTTTTTAAAAAAAAATTGGGATAACATTAGCTTGTTGAGCTATTTATGAGAATGCTAAGATCTAAAGTAATAATTCATATTACTTTAGAGAAGCAACCTAGAACTAGGGAAATTTCACCTAACACTTAAGCCATATTCAATCCTTTCTCTTCTTTTGGTCCCTGATTTCCATCTTGAATGTAGAGTTTTATGTGCTATCAAAATACGTTGACTATAACTTGTATTATAGACTATCTCAAGAGGCCATTGAAGTTGCATTCATGTGGGAATTGCAACTTGCTGGTTATCCCTCATGAATGCAGCTACAGTAATATCTTGCAGTAATCAGTAGAAACTCTTGTCATTAAATTCTGTTGTTTGTTTCCATCTGCAGCGTGGAACGTTATGATCCCAACAAGGACTCCTGGGAAGCAGTTGCACCAATGGCAGACAAGAGAATAAACTTTGGTGTTGGGGTTATGCTAGGCTTCATTTTTGTAGTTGGAGGGCACAATGGTGTTTCTCACTTGTCCAGCATTGAGCGGTATGATCCACACCAAAACCAATGGACTGTTTGTCATCCAATGAAGGAACCCCGAACTGGTAATAAACTATTCAGTTTATTATCTAAATTGCTCCTGTTCAACTGAATTTTGTTATTCTTTTTTCATGTCACTTTGGGAGCAATTAAATCTTACTTTAAACGTATACATCATTACTGAGTTCTCCCTTACTGTGCTATTTCTATGCAAATGGGATACCATGTAAGAATGCCCCAAAGTGCTATTCAGTTGTCTTTTCCTAAAAAACCCTTATCCTTGCTATGATAAACCAAAAACCCCTGGAAAAAGGAAGAGAGAGATTTACTTGAATAGCATTTATATCATCAGTACTTTAAGACACAGATAGGCAAACTATTTACAGCCAAAGATTGCATTTATTTTTTTCCTCTGAAAGCAAAAGAACAGGATGATTATATTAATAGAGAGGGTGGGCATCAAAACTTTGAACCATTTAGGGTTTTGGAGGGCTTCGTTGCATAAAATAAATGAAGCTTAGTTTTGTGGGAATATGGATTTCAGCATGGAAAATACAGCATGCCTATTTTAGAGTTAGACATTTTGGTGAATGAATAATAACATTGCTTAGGTATTCATTTAATACCATTCTAGATCTTTTAGCTGTTAATGAATCCAACTAAGCTGATTTTTTTTTTCTTACTCCTAGTAACTTCTCTCCTTCTCTCCTTGTAAGGCAATTATGTGTTTGGGAACTACTCCATATTTTTGAATTTACAAACATAACTTTATGCTTGTGCTGCAGAATCACCCTTATTTCCATCCTGCTACTTTATTATTTGGCTCAGGTATTAGGGTCGCAACAAATCACAGCAAACTATGAAGCACAATCTGTAAAAGTAAATCTTCCTCTGGAAATAGCACATCCTCCTCTTCCTCTTGTCCTGGCAGCTAACAGGTATGGTGCAGGCAAATTTTGCAGAGTCCAAGGGGAAGCTAAGCTTAAGAGAATAAGCACACGAGAAATGACTGGAGAAGGATGATGTCAGGAATAGATGGCTGTCCTTGCGAGGTCTCTCCCCTAATTCTAAATGTTCACAGCTGAATCATTTCTGGAGAGACAGCAGCCAGCTGCCACTTACTCACAAGGCATACTCTTTGGCAGAGACAGGACTTCGCTCTCTGTTTAGCCTGGCATCCAGTTTAGCAGAAAGAGCTTCCAAGCTGAGTGAAAGCTTATAATTGATCAATTCACACACTTACCGAGCACCACACCAAACAAACATAACACACACAGGCTCTCCCATGACATCACTTTCATTCAGTTCAACAATGTCAACATCCTTTTCCTATTGTTTTGAAAATGCATTCCAAACAGAAAAGAACAAAAGATAGAATCCCAGACTAGCCAGAACATATACTCTCCCAAATCCCATCAGCATATACATGCAGTCTTCAATTCCTCAGTTGCAACTAGGAAATTGTGGAGGAATTTGTCAAGGATCTGACAGACAAAATTGCTTGAATCCATTCTCAATTGGAATTTTGGAAACCAAGCATGGAGCAGATCCATTAGAGACTCACCTGGTTATCTGGGAGCAGTTTGACCATGTTGGACCTGAGGAAGTGGACAGTGTCCTCAGAGCTGTTATCACAACCGATTATTTATTAGATGCTAGAGAATATGGCCGTTTCAACTCATATTTTCAAGGATAAACTGGTGCTTTCTTCCTCAACCAAAACTCTTTATGGCAGTAAAAGCATAACCTGCAGGCCTAGAATTTGTTCCAGAAAGCGTTTTTTGCCTAACCCATTTTCATGATATTAAAGCAATATTTGGCCATTTCTATTCTGAGTTTCCTGTACTATTGTCTTTTGCTAGGCTCCATAATAGAAAAGGGCAGTGAAGAGATGAGTTGAAGGGAGAATTTTAGGTGTTCCTCTCCTCTCTCAAGAAAACATCTGACCTTTGAACATTTTCCACCCTCCACATTACAACATTCATTATGATGATGATTAGGTTTTTACTTACCTTTTTTTTTACATATAACTAAAGATGGTGAACATATGTAATACTCCTGGATCCTATTTTCCTCATAACAACCACAAGTTCTTTAACACTTATTTAAATTATGGATTTGTTTTTTTAGTTTGCATGTTTTTCCCATGAAAAGGACTTGATTTTCTAATGTTAAATATTTATATTTTCTTTTTTCTTTCCCAATAGGAGTTGGTGCAGCTGTAATTGATACATATCTTTATGTAGTTGGTGGACACTCAGGTTCGTCCTATCTTAATACTGTACAGAAATATGACCCTATAGCTGATAAATGGCTGGACACTGCCGGTATGATGTACTGCCGTTGTAATTTTGGCTTGACTGCACTTTGAATAATACATTTGAGGATGCAAGTAGCACTGAAGATGCCTGAGCTGTACAAAGCAGAAGCTGTATTTCTTCAAGATGGGAGAAAGGAGAGATGACTTAATTGTAATGCAAACAGGTGAACCCCAAACAAGAATTGGATATTGTTGATAGGAAAGAAATGGAAGGAGGGAATATGGGACTGTCTTTCTAATGGGGATCCAAATTGCATACTGTTATTGACCTGAAATAATTTATCTTTATACAAGAAGCACTGTGTTGTCTGCAATAGGCAAATAAACTCCCAAACTCAGAGCTTTGATCTTTCTCTTCCTGTGACTGGCATAGGTAATATTGCTAAAGGGGTGGGATCATTTGACTATGTTGCACAATCTTAATAGATGTCTGTCTCCATATTTACATAGAGACCATGATTGCTTCACATTTTTTATGAACAGTTAAAGGGCTGCCTTTTCCCTCCACCCATTACGCAGGTTTTGTAAATATCTGATACTGTAATTTGTTTATCTGCACTTAATACGCCTCCTCCCTTTGGGGTGGAGGGGTAACTTACTGGAGAATAAGAATGGATAGCTATTTTCAGCTCAATGCATTTAAAGTTTTATTTTTATTCTTATACTATTTGTCTGTACATCACCCTTTATCTGAAGACCTACAGCTTACAAGCTGGTAGAGAAAGCCTGTGTGTGTTGGGTTTTATTAAAATAATGTGTAATGATATACCAGCACACATGTAACTGTTTCAAAAAGAAATATCTTCCACCTCTGTGCATAAATTTATGCTATGTAGCCCACGAGTGACTACAAAGAATGTACAACCAAATTTTCAGTGTGTATTGACTGACATGGTGCTAAACAATTAGATTGCTGAGATTGCTAGAAATATTAAGAGAGATTGATTGAATATGTACAGCATTGGACTAAGGCAAAATTTTGACTAAAGTAATACATTTTTTTTTGTCATTGGTGAACTGCAGGATATGTAATGATAGCTACCAGATTGAAATATAACTATTTTTCTTCTCTGTTCCTGTAAAATTATCAAGTTTTTATTTTGCTAATATTTCTTAGATGAGCATGTTTGGAGAACAGAAGTCTGAACAGATTAGAGAATGGAGGGAGTATTGATTTCCTTAGAGATAGTTCTCTTCCTTAAAAAGTGAATTAGGTAACAATACTGGATAGTTATCTCTGCATTCTTAACAGTTCCCCCAAACATTGCTTTGAGATGTCCTAGAACTCAGCAGAACTTTTCAGTTGTGGTTGGATTGTTCTGTAATTGGACAATTCCTCTAATAAATTGAAATCTGGTCATCGATAGATCGTCCTGAAACCCACTGTTAAGGTTCTAAGAGAACAAAGCATGATCTTATATTTTAATATTATTTCACATAGATAACTGAAACTGTTTCTACAGTTTTCTCTTTCAGGTATTTTTCAATGTATATTTCTGTTTTGTCGAAAGAGTTTTACATCAGTTTATTCTTGTCTGCCTTTTCTCCCTTTGGAAGTACATTTCTCCTCATCTCCCTTTAGCACGATTTTTGGTAGTGTTCACAAACATGCAATAATAAGATGTGTGGCTGACCTGTATTTTGAGCCTTTTACTTCTATTTACATGAAAGGGGAGATTGTGAACTAGAAACTTGTGCTCTGTAATAAGAATGGCAGCTAACCAAGCTGCAAAAGCTCTTCTTCTTCCATGAGCTAATCAATGTTCTAATTAAAACCAGAAGAGCACACTTCTTAAACTACTTAACATCATTTTTCTACCAACACTTGAAGATGTTATCAAATCCTAAAACTCTTGTTTAGATATTTGTTCAGTTAAGCAGAGTTTTGAAGCAACTATGAAACAAGCAATTTGTAATATGCTAGTTGATACCTGTTATGCAGCAATAATAGCATAATGCAACATGTACCTTGATTTTTTTTTTTTTAATGCATGGAATTAGGACATCCTCATTCATTTCAGTGAAACTCATTTGAGAGACCTGGATTCTGAAGAAGGCAATCATATGTAACAGTAGAAGCAATTGCTTGTTGTGGATCAATGGCTATTCAGTTTGCATTCATAAAAATGCAAAGTTAAATCGTTTTTCAGTCTTAGGTCTTTCTTCAAGCTGCCTTTGAATTTAGAAAAATATATTTGATACGATAGTTGTTTGAGAAGGTACTCATATAGCGAGAATCTGGGAATCAGACAAAACAGCTCTGAACAAGGAGAGAGAGAAAAATAGTCATGGAGTGGAAAATGCTAAAAAAAAACATTGTAGCTGAAGGATTTAAGAAGCGTTCACCTCTGGTTATCTGCCTTGTTCATGCATGGTTTGCAAAGAATCCACTCAAACTGCTTTGACTGGCCAATCTGAACATCAGGGTTAAGGATATTTTTTGCTTTTGTTTTAAAAAAGGAGTGCAGACAGTGACAACATTTGATATTCTTTAGCACCCCCTTTGGGTGATGGCATGTACCCAGTAAGAAGTCAATTACTCTAAATATAGCACTTTTTGAATTATTAGTAATCTCCAGGCAGTTTGAGGGTGGCCCTTATTGTGTAGTTCAACTAAGGACATTGTTGATTTATTTGAGTCTACCTTAATATTTGTACATAAGGAGATTTGGTTGATTGCTTTAATTATGTAGACCATCTGTATTAAAAACAATTTAAGGCACAAATAGCTATTTTTAGTCACAATTAGATTAATTCACTAGTGCAGTAAATACTATCTCTGTAGCAAATACAGGGAATAATATATTTAAATGAACTCATCATAGTCGCTTCTCTTTCACCATTCACTGAACTGCTCAAGTGTAGATAAATTGGACACCCAATTTTAACATTTGTAGGCTGCAATAAACTGCTTATAGCTCAGCATTACAGAGAAAGCCTTTCCTAAAATAGTACCTAGCTTGACATCCAGTTCCACAAAACCATTCACGTGACTTACTTAATGATTAAGCAAAAGCACTTTAACATTTCCTGGCTGTTTATTTTTAGGCTTTTCTTTGATTTGGAAGAAAAATAACCCACAGCTTTGTATATAAGTAATATAGGGTAGCATTATATACATATGTAATGCAAGTAATCCTCAACCTTATCACCACAATTGGGATGAAAATTCCATCTCTATGTGAGGTGATTGTTAACTGAGTCATGCCCAATTTTATGATCTTTTTTGATGTGGCCATTAAGCAAATCACTGCAGTCATTCTTTGAAGCTGGCTTGCCCCATTGAATTTGTCGGAAGCCAGCTGGGAATGTCTCAGATGGTGATCATGTAACCTTGGGATGCTGCAGCCATTGTAAATAAATATGGGTTGCCAAGCACCCAAATTTTGAGCATGTGACCATGGAGACACTGCAACAGACATAAGTATGAGAAACGGTCATAAGTCACTTTTTTCAGCACAGTCATCACTTTGGTTACTAAACAAATGTGGTTAAGGACTGCCTATGCTCTTCATTGAAGTCCACAGGTCTTAAAGTTGCCAAGGTTGGGGACCCCTGAGCTAGAGTGTAAGATTGGAGCATTGCAGTGGCTAAATATTTTTGTTATGTGGCAAACCTAGGCAGTCTTCTATTTCTATTTTTTTTTCTTCTCTATGTTTCTTCTACGCCATCTACCAAGGTTCATTTGTTAACTCCTTCCATTCTATGACAGAATATGAGCTCACTCTCCTACTTGCCTTAAATCTTCTTTCACTCATAAAAGAACTGAGAAATAATTCCTTTTTTTGCCTTACATGCTATTCTCTGTTTTCACTTCTCTGACCCAATTCTAAACCTTCATGCACAGTAGTTTTTAGTAGGATTCTGACCTGCACAGAGGGATTTATTGTGGATGCTAGGAGACAGGTAGTGTTGTTTTATGTTTGCATTCTCCTACCAGCAGAGTTTCATGTTCTTTCTCTCTCTGCCATCCTTCTTTACAAAGATGGTAGTTGAGTGGGAAGCCACTAGATAATTTTCTCCTTTGTTTGCTAAATGTGGTCATGTTCTGTTGTTATTGCTACAGTATTTCATTTGAATGTGCACTGTTAATAAATAAATTTATGAAGGCAAAAAGGCTTGGTTGTATTTTTTTTAAATATCTAACTTGATTATCTTCATCTTTAAATACCACAGATAAACCAGAAATATTCTTTAGCAAACACACTTTTATTTCAATTTGCTAAGGCAAATTAGATAGTAATCATGGATAACTTACTTGCCTATCCCTAGAGCGCTGCATGACATGATAGCCAGCTGCAATTGGCCTTGTTTTTGCTCAGAATGTGATGCTTTTATATTGGCTGCCTAAATGATAGGGGTTTTTTTGGGGGGGGATATTGTTTAAAAATAAGTTTCTTTAATCACTATTCCATGATACATTGGTATACAGATAAAATGATGGACTGGGACAAAGGAACCTGATCTGCAGTTGGCTTTCAACTAATGCTTATTACCCAGTAATGGTATCGATCAAGGCAAATGTTCAGCCTTCTTTGGAGACAAATTTTCTATGCTGCAAGGTGAGGGATGGATGGATTGACTTGATTGAACTTCCTTCTATGGTTAGCAGTAAAAACACAGAATATGTTTAAAATATTTAAATCACAACAGGGAAATTGTAAAGATGTACACATCCAGCAGTAACTAAAATTACTTAAAGGAATGCATCAGTGAATGTGAAATATAATGTAAGTTATATGCAATAACTTACAATAACTGAATGCAATAACTGAAGGCAGGACAAGAAGCAACGGATGGAAACTAATCAAGGAGAGAAGCAACCTAGAACTAAGGAGAAATTTCCTGACAGTTAGAACAATTAACCAGTGGAACAACCTGCCTCCAGAAGTGGTGAATGCTCCAACACTGGAAGTTTTTAAGAAGAGACTGGACAGCCATTTGTCCGAAATGGTATAGGGTTTCCTGCCTGAGCAGGGGGTTGGACTAGATGACCTCCAAGGTCCCTTCCAACTTCTCTCCTTGATTAGTTTCCACCCGTTGCTTCTTGTCCTGCCTTCAGGCGCTTTGGAAATAGCTTGACTCCCTCTTCTTTGTGGCAGCCCCTGAGATATTGGAACACTGCTATCATGTCCCCCCTCGTCCTTCTCTTCATTAAACTAGACATACCCAATTCCAGCAGCCGTTCCTTATATGCTTTAGCCTCCAGTCCC